CAACCATAGTTACAGACAACCGTCCGTGACAGCTGCGGTCACTGGGGCCTTCTCACTTCGCCGCAGAACGCGACGGCTGACCGGCGACCGTTCTTAGGCTGATACGTGATGGCGACTTTGTGAAATGTTAAATATTCGATCAGTAGAATAAGTGGTGACAAGTCACCATAAAAAGTAACGGTGACCCCCAACTCATTATAGTCCGTGATTTGGTGTAGAGATGGGAGAAAGTGACAAAATTTAGTAACGGTTACAATGGTGACAGTGACCAAAATGTCACCGTTACTTTTTATGGTGACTTGTCACCACTTATTCTACTGATCGAATATTTAACATTTCACAAAGTCGCCATCACGTATCAGCCTAAGAACGGTCGGAGTTGGGGGTAGTTCTTCCAAAAAATGATAACGCGTGATAAGAAAAAAAATGTTACATAACCTATAAAATGTGTAATACTACAGATAGTACCAACATCGATTTTACCAAAAACCCGCCAAAAGAAATTTCGTATTTTAATATCAAAAACATTGCCTTTAGTTAGGTTCTTATCTTTATTGCAAATTTTAGTTAGATCTTTATCAATTATTTAAATCGTAAATCGTAACAATTTAAATCGTATACACTATACACGTAAAATTCATAATAAATTACATTATATTATACCTATCATATAAGTATATGTTATAATTTAATATTATTTGGTATAAAATAATAATAATTTTATTAAAATTTCCCTCAAATTGTTTATATTACTATTTAAATAAAACATTATTTTTACGTTTTACCTAAATTAGTTAACGATTTCAGAATTTGGCTGTCAAGTATAAATTAGTTTTACCACATCTTACATATGTATTCTGTAGTTAAAGAATACAGGTAGGAGCTTATAAGCTTTGTCTTCAATCTTGTCTTTTAGAAGATATATTATTAACAACATTTGGTACCTAAAGGATATATTAGAGCAAGATAACGGAACATATGCCACTTGTAGTTTAAATACCTTACATGAATAACTAGAACAAAACACATATTTCATTTTCAAGTTTTCACATAAATCAATATATACATTATAAGGTTATAGTCCAAAGTGAACCTTTTGCCAGATAAAGACTCGTGAAGAGAAAAAAAATTGTTGTACGGCCCCTTTTGCATGGGATAATAGGTAGATAATACGAATATGGCATAATATAAAATTACTGTAAACTAGATTTAACAATTCTGTTGTATTAATAAAAAAGATCAAACTTGGGTCGTAATCGTATAAACGTCATACTCAATAAATATATAATGTAATTTAATAAAAACTTGCTTTTATGTTGGTGAGATTATCAAATCAGACTGATCGGTATTAAAATACCTTGCAAGACTGAATGTTATTTATAATCAATTAGTAGGTTTTTAAAATAATTATTATTCACTAAATATTTTACAGAAATTAGTTTATATTAAGCTACTCCGGGTATATATTTTTATTATATAAACCAAACTAAACAAAATGAATTTGTTCTGAAATAGTTATTCATATGATTTAAAAATATGATACAATTTTTGGTCAATATAAATTTGCAAATTTACAATTATCTCTTGATTTGAAAATGTCCTTGTTTGTTAGAAGATTGCATAGCCCATATTTTATTAATCTATGTACTTATTCATTTATTATGGCCATTTACTTAGTGAATAGTTAAATTAATAATTTATGAATAATTACACCAGAAATCGCATAATATGACAATTGATACACATTAATGCGAGCGTATCAAATACTCATCACATAAATGTTGATCTACCCTTGGTATGGTACAAAGATCTTAATTAAATAACTGCAAAACTTCTTCAAACGATTGTACTGTTCCATCCTTTATAAATTAGGTATGGTACCCTCGTGTTTAATATATATTTTTCTGTTCTAGGAACTTGCTTTCTGTTGTAGTTAAATAATTTTTGGATTAAATCCTGCCGTTTTACGGTGGACAATATTGACATAAAGCTTTTTTTTAATTATTTTAATTAATACTCTGATAATCAGATAGTATAAAAATCGATTAGAAATTAGAATACCTACTTAGGTATATCCATATTTCATTTAGATCTTTTAAAATTATATTTTCATAGATCCATAGATTTATAAGAATTTTTGATATTTCACATTTCCAAACATAAGTAGAATTAAATGTCTAAAGTGATGCTGTAAGATACTAGTGAAAAGTAATAAAAAATTTTTGTACAAGCCTGGCAAAGACTTGGCTAATTATCTTTTACCTCGATTGCCTTTGTAGAAATACAATTATTTTCAATTAGATTTGTTTCTTATAGAAGTGATATTATAACTTTTCTGTTATTAATTCTGCCTACATTCCATTTATTAAGAAATGTATACTTTTCTTATATTATAAAAAAAATAGAAATAATACATATTATAAAATAAATAGATAAAATTGCAAGTTGCAGCACCTCATCATATTTATTTATCTCTTATCTCGCTTATCTCTTATCTCATCGAGATCTGCTGTTAAAGCTCTTTTTGCCCACAAAAAGTTTAATAAGTTATAATAAGACTGATTTAAGTATGTTAATATTTACTTAAGATTGGTGAAGTTGTAAAAATTTAAATGATATAAACGTAGCTATGGACATATTTAATGTGAAAACTAATGAGGCTATTTCCAATTCCACTAATATGTAAGTAATAAAATTGTCAAATCAGAAATTAAAAGATTGAATATCAAGCGGTCAGGTTAACTCTATTTTAACTAAGTGAACATTTAAAAACAGATTAGATAATCCCATTTTTATTTAACATTAATTAAAAATGGTATAATTGTGTTAGGAATATCTTATACCCCCATAATTTTGGTTAGAAATACTAGATTAAACTAGTAGAAGATAATTCTAACTTTATACTGTTAAACAGTTGTACTTAACTAAATTGTAGTTAACAATGAAAAGTATAAAAGTTGTAGGTATTTAATTTATCATTATTTTCAGGTAAGTGCCCCAATAGATGTGTCTTCATTCCTTTACACAAAACAGGAAATAAATAACTGTTCAGTAGTTATTATCTATTATTTCAGTCGGTAATTATAATTACTAGGGCTCTAGTTATAATTACTAGACTGTAGCCATTATAAACCAATATCGTTATCACTGTCTCTATCAAAAATATTTGAAAATCATTAAATCCCAAATAATGAAGTAGTATAATATTTGGTTATTAAAACATATTTACATGGTTTTACGAGTTTTTATAGTTGAATTTGAATAAAACTGACCATATGGTTTTCAATATTCAAAACTATTTTAATCTGGATAACTTAAAGTTTAGAGGTCAAAACTGTATAGAGCTACAAAATTGTGTTTCATGAATTATGATTCATATAAGATGTAACTGCGTTACTATTAAAAAGAAAATAGTTGTATACTTTGATTCATTGATAACTGACTAAAATGAAAATATCAAAAATATTGAATATGTTATAAAACTATTCAATTATTATCAAGACATTATTTATATATGTCTATAGTTATTAGATAATAGCAGGTATTGTTAAGGGTTAAACTTACTAAAGCTTATTTATTATTTAAATGTTGAATCTATAATTATTTACTACATTATACTATGCATATAAATAAAGATAACAGTATCTGGACTTTATAATACAATTTATATCGAACACATCATTGTATACTCAAAGAGAGTATTCAATATGTTAAACATCCTTCGTTTAAACGTATTATATAATATCACTTAATACAATATACAGATACAAATCACTCGTTATCGAGAGTAAACGTGTCTATGAGAACAGATTTAGAAAAAATACATTTGGTTTACTTTTACTTTATTGTGTCAAAAACTACATCTAAAAACTATTGCATTTCTAAATAATAAAATTATAAACAAATATATACTATATACTAAATACGCTTTGAATTTTTATCATAATTAAATATTATTTAATTAAAAATTATCAAAAAAGTAAGTGGTTATTAAAACATGTTTTCAGTTGTAAAATAACACAAACAAAAATGTTTTGAAAAATAATTTAACCTAATTGAAATTATTATGAGAGAAAATTAGTCAATCACACTATATAATTAAGCTAACCAAGAAAAAACAACTTTTATTTCTAAAAAACAATATAGACTTCCTGTCTATCAGGCTACCTATAGTAACACAGTATACATTTCAGACCAATTTTATAATTTATAAAGTACAATTCATAAAGTTTGATAAGTCATTTAAATAAATAATAAATAGTAATAATAGAAATAATAAATGTAATAGTTTAAAACACATAAAATAATCTGGTAAAAAGTATAAATAGTATAAAATGATACTTAAGTAAAGATATTTTTTAACTAAAAATGTATATATTATAAACTAAACATCAAAATTTACAAATGTATAATTACTTGGTTTAGCAAAAAAAAAATTGTACCGTTTTTTTTTTAATCTAGGTATTCAAAATTTTGACTACACAATTTTTCCTAACAACATCAACATAATTTCACAACAGTTTACAAATTTTCAATCTTTCAGTTAGGTCAAGATATTTTTACAATAAATTAATATTTTAATGTTATTAAGGTAAGTAAATATTAAAAAATAAGCAAATACAGAAGCTACATTTATAATTTATTTGGTAGGCTAATAATTATGTTTGTCAAAATTGTAATAGTAATATACTGTTAGTATCGTTAAACTAAAGATACTTGTATTGACACAAGTGTAAAATATTCAAACAATAATACAAGTATTCAAAAAAAAAAAAAATTTAAACAATCTTAATTTTGTTTTAATGTAGTTGAAAATTAAAAATATTTAGCCAAATGAGATATCAGTGTAGTGGTCATAAATACAGTACAGTTTATATGGACGTTGAAGACAGGATAATAAGTTATTCAATATAAACAACTGAATTACAGTTGATTAATAATAAATTATAATGAGACTTTTTTAAATAAAATTAAACAAAATATAAAGAGATTGAAGATGATACTACGATGTTTAACAGCAGGTAAACAGAAATACTGGGTGGCGTTTATACTGTTAGTCTGATACAGAATATTCTTCCAGGGGTTTTGCACAAAATTCAATTAACTTCAACAACAAATATTCAAATATAGTGTCAAAAATCCGTCTATGGATTACAGTGTCCATGGAGAAATATATGATATGTCCATTTAATCTTCCTCTGGTCACATTCTAGCTGAAAAAACAACAAATGGTTAAATAATATTAATAAATAATTATAATATAAAACCAATTTTAAATGAATTACTAATGTTAACGTTTGTTAATTGTGAAGTTAAAATTAAATATAACGAAAATTGATAATGACATTTTTTTATACCATTCAACTTAAATTATCTATCAATAACACTTGGAAGAGTGATTTCATGAATAGACTATAATTGTGACCGGTATATATCAAGTGGACCTAGTTTGTTATCTCATACCAATGAAGCGTAAGATCTACAAGTAAATGCAATTTTTCTTGTACAAAAACTAACAATGTTAGAAAATAGTAAATTAAATTATTAAAAAGAAAGATAATTTACATTTGATTTCTTTTTTTTAAATACCCTATATTAGGGTGTTTTAGATTGATATTAAACTAATTTTGTATCAATATTTGTATTAATACTACAAATCTAGAATGTTTTCCTTACCTAGTCTATTTAGACAAATGATAAAACAATTATTTCTTCCAGTTAGTGTCGATGGAGAACTGTTCAACCAGAATCTTTGACTCATCTTAAAACTGAAAGATATATTATTAATAAATAAGTTAAAAGTTGAAATGTTAATTATTAAAATAATAGAGATTAAATCAATTAAAACAATTTTACAAAAAATAACTCCATACCTGTTACCACACTTAATCAGACTAGAGATAGTTTCAGGAATCGAACCGCTCTAATGAATAAGCATACCGATAAGCTTTTTATGACTTCAGACAACTACCATCATACTGTAAAACATAATTTACTTGTATTAATATTTTTATTTAAATAGGATGTAATAATATTGTCACACAAATTAGTACAATATAGTGTATGTATGAACTTTGTCGCTAGGCACTATAATTGATAAATATATTATGTTATTCATATTAAATATTGCATGTTTATACTATGTGAAAATAAGAGTTTTGAATTATGAATTAAAAAAGAATTCTAATAAAAATATTCATTTAATATTAATAAGAAACGAAAGTAAATTTTATTTACCAATAATTATCGTTGTCGTCATATGAACTAGTTGGGTTTTTGTCATTATAAATGTATCGTAAAAATGTGTACTATTATATATTATATTTAAGAAAATATAATATATTTTAACACGGTTTTTTTTTTATCATTTGAATTATTGCCGTTTAGTTCTAGAGATAACAGTTAACTCTGACAAACGTTAGTTATATTTTAGTGGGTTCAGGGCAGTTCTTCCAAAAAATGATAAGAGATAAGAGTTCTTCCAAAAGATAACACAATTTTTATTTTATCAGCGTGACCAACCCAGAAACACCAAAATATAAAATCACATTCTATCAGTCTGCCAATTCTATCAGAATAAAAGTAACTAAAATATAACTAACGTTTGTCAGAGTTAACTGTTATCTCTAGAACTAAACGGCAATAATTCAAATGATAAAAAAAATAACCGTGTTAAAATATATTATATTTTCTTAAATAGTACACATTTTTACGATACATTTATAATGACAAAAAACCAACTAGTTCATATGACGACAACGATAATTATTGGTAAATAAAATTTACTTTCGTTTCTTATTAATATTAAATGAATATTTTTATTAGAATTCTTTTTTAATTCATAATTCAAAACTCTTATTTTCACATAATATAAACTTGCAATATTTAATATGAATAACATAATATATTTATCAATTATAGTACCTAGCGACAAAGTTCAGACATACACTATATTGTACTAATTTGTGTGACAATATTATTACATCCTATTTAAATAAAACTATTAATACAAGTAAATTATGTTTTACAGTATGATGGTAGTTGTCTGAAGTCATAAAAAGCTTATCGGTATGCTTATTCATCAGAGCGGTTCGATTCCTGAAACTATCTCTAGTCTGATTAAGTGTGGTAACAGGTATGGAGTTATTTTTTGTAAAATTGTTTTAATTGATTTAATCTCTATTATTTTAATAATTAACATTTCAACTTTTAACTTATTTATTAAAAATATATCTTTCAGTTTTAAGATGAGTCAAAGATTCTGGTTGAACAGTTCTCCATCGACACCAACTGGAAGAAATAATTGTTTTATCATTTGTCTAAATAGATTAGGTATGGAAAACATTCTAGATTTGTAGTATTAATACAAATATTGATACAAAATTAGTTTAATATCAATCTAAAACACCCTAATATAGGGTATTTAAAAAAAAAGAAATCAAATGTAAATTATCTTTCTTTTTAATAATTTAATTTACTATTTTCTAACATTGTTAGTTTTTGTACAAGAAAAATTGCATTTACTTGTAGATCTTACGCTTCATTGGTATGAGATAACAAACTAGGTCCACATGATATATACCGGTCACAAATATAGTCTATTCATGAAATCACTCTTCCAAGTGTTATTGATAGATAATTTAAATTGAATGGTATAAAAAGTTGGAAGTTAAATGGTATAAAAAAATGTCATTATCAATTTTCGTTATATTTAATTTTAACTTCACAATTAACAAACCTTAACATTAGTAATTCATTTAAAATTGGTTTTATATTATAATTATTATTAATATTATTTAACCATTTGTTGTTTTTTCAGCTAGAATGTGACCAGAGGAAGATGTAATGGACATATCATATATTTCTCCATGGACACTGTAATCCATAGACGGATTTTTGACACTATATTTGAATATTTGTTGTTGAAGTTAATTGGATTTTGTGCAAAACCCCTGGAAGAATATTCTGTATCAGACTAACATTATTAAAACCACCCAGTATTTCTGTTTACCTGCTGTTAGACATCGTAGTATCATCTCCAATCTCTTTATATTTTGTTTAATTTTATTTAAAAAAGTCTCATTATAATTTATTATTAATCAACTGTAATTCAGTTGTTTACTTATTGAATAACTTATTATCCTGTCTTCAACGTCCATATAAACTGTACTGTATTTATGACCACTACACTGATATCTCATTTGGCTAAATATTTTTAATTTTCAACTACATTAAAACAAAATTAAGATTGTTTAAATTTTTTTTTTTTTTGAATACTTGTATTATTGTTTGAATATTTTTACACTTTAAGTGTCAATACAAGTATCTTTAGTTTAACGATACTAACAGTATATTATTATTACAATTTTGACAAACATAATTATTAGCCTACCAAATAAATTATAAATGTAGCTTCTGTATTTGCTTATTTATTAATATTTACTTACCTTAATAACATTAAAATATTAATTTATTGTAAAAATATCTTGACCTAACTAAAAGATTGAAAATTTGTAAACTGTTGTGAAATTATGTTGATGTTGTTAGGAAAAATTGTGTAGTCAAAATTTTGAATACCTAGATTAAAAAAAAAAAACGGTACAATTTTTTTTTTGCTAAACCAAGTAATTATACATTTGTAAATTTTGATGTTTAGTTTATAATATATACATTTTTAGTTAAAAAATATCTTTACTTAAGTATCATTTTATACTATTTATACTTTTTACCAGATTATTTTATGTGTTTTAAACTATTACATTTATTATTTCTATTATTACTATTTATTATTTATTTAAATGACTTATCAAACTTTATGAATTGTACTTTATAAATTATAAAATTGGTCTGAAATGTATACTGTGTTACTTTAGGTAGCCTGATAGACAGGAAGTCTATATTGTTTTTTAGAAATAAAAGTTGTTTTTTCTTGGTTAGCTTAATTATATAGTGTGATTGACTAATTTTCTCTCATAATAATTTCAATTAGGTAAAATTATTTTTCAAAACATTTTTGTTTGTGTTATTTTACAACTGAAAACATGTTTTAATAACCACTTACTTTTTTGATAATTTTTAATTAAATAATATTTAATTATGATAAAAATTCAAAGCGTATTTAGTATATAGTATATATTTGTTTATAATTTTATTATTTAGAAATGCATTAGTTTTTAGATGTAGTTTTTGACACAATAAAGTAAAAGTAAACCAAATGTATTTTTTCTAAATCTGTTCTCATAGACACGTTTACTCTCGATAACGACTGATTTGTATCTGTGTATTGTAATACAAGGGATATTATATAATGCGATTAAACGAAGGATGTTTAACATATTGAATACTCTCTTTGAGTATACAATGATGTGTTCGATATAAATTGTATTATTAAGTCCAGATACCGTTATCTTTATTTATATGCATAGTATAATGTAGTAAATAATTATAGATTCAACATTTAAATAATAAATTAGCTTTAGTAAGTTTAACCCTTAACAATACCTGCTATTATCTAAAAACTATAGATATATATAAATAATGTCTTGATAATAATTGAATAGTTTTATAACATATTCAATATTTTTGATATTTTCATTTTAGTCAGTTATCAATGAATCAAAGTATACAACTATTTTCTTTTTAATAGTAACGCAGTTACATCTTATATGAATCATAATTCATGAAACACAATTTTGTAGCTCTACACAGTTTGACCTCTAAACTTTAAGTTATCCAGATTAAAATAGTTTTGAATATTGAAAACCATATGTTTAGTTTTATTCAAATTCAACTATAAAAACTCGTAAAACCATGTAAATATGTTTTAATAACTAAATATTATATTACTTCATTATTTGGGATTTAATGATTTTTCAAATATTTTTGATAGAGACAGTGATAACAATATTGGTTTATAATGGCTACAGTCTAGTAATTATAACTAGAGCCCTAGTAATTATAATTACCGACTGAAATAATAGATAATAACTACTGAACAATTATTTATTTCCTGTTTTGTGTAAAGGAATGAAGACACATTTGTTAAAACTATTGGGGCACTTACCTGAAAATAATGATAAATTAAATACCTACAACTTTTATACTTTTCATTGTTAACTACAATTTAGTAAAGTACAACTGTTTAACAGTATAAAGTTAGAATTATCTTCTACTAGTTTAATCTAGTATTTCTAACCAAAATTATGGGGGTATAAGATATTCCTAACACAATTATACCATTTTTAACTAATGTTAAATAAAAATGGGATTATCTAATCTGTTTTTAAATGTTCACTTAGTTAAAATAGAGTTAACCTGACCGCTTGATATTCAATCTTTTAATTTCTGATTTGACAATTTTATTATATACATATTAGTGGAATTGGAAATAGCCTCATTAGTTTTCACATTAAATATGTCCATAGCTACGTTTATATCATTTAAATTTTCACAACTTCACCAGTCTTAAGTAAATATTAACATACTTAAATCAGTCTTATTATAACTTATTAAACTTTTTGTGGGCAAAAAGAGCTTTAACAGCAGATCTCGATGAGAACGAGATAAGAGATAAATAAATATGATGAGATGCTGCAACTTGCAATTGTACCTATTTATTTTATAATATGTATTATTTCTATTTTTTTTATAATATAAGTAAAGTATACATTTCTTAATAAATGGAATGTAGACAGAATTAATAACAGAAAAGTTATAATATCACTTCTATAAGAAACAAATCTAATGACTTGGTTATCGCTAAGTAAATGGCCATATTAAATGAATAAGTACATAGATTAATAAAATATGGGCTATGCAATCTTCTAACAAACAAGGACATTTTCAAATCAAGAGATAATTGTAAATTTGCAAATTTATATTGACCAAAAATTGTATCATATTTTTAAATCATATGAATAACTATTTCAGAACAAATTCATATTGTTTAGTATGGTTTATATAATAAAAATATATACCCAGAGTAGCTTAATATAATCTAATTTCTGTAAAATATTAAGTGATTAATAATAATTTTTTTAAAAACCTACTAATTGATTATAAATAACATTCAGTCTTGCAAGGTATTTTAATACCGATCAGTCTGATTTGATAATCTTACCAACATAAAAGCAAGTTTTTATTAAATTACATTATATATTTATTGAGTATGACGTTTATACGATTACGACCCTAGTTTGATCATTTTTATTAATACAACAGAATTGTTAAATCTAGTTTACAGTAATTTTATATTATGCCATATTCGTATTA